CTCTTCAGGCACATATTACTATGATCCCTAAGAAGTCTGAAGATGCCTTTGAACCGCAAGCTTTCAGACCGATCTCGCTGCTAAATGTGGACTTGAAGATTCTGGGAAAGGTTCTGAGCACCCGAATTAATAAGTATCTACTCTCACTTATTCATCGAGATCAGGTTGTGCAAGGGAATCCTGGTGAGACGATTGGCAAATAGAAGTGCGCATGCCCAAAGAAATGCGCGATCGTGCACGTGCACACGCAAGGGGAAGATTGGCGCCAGACGGACTATTTAAAAGGTGTGCTGAGTGCTGACTGGTCTTCAGCTGTTACCCGTTTCCTGCTCGTTCCTGAGTGATTTCCTTGTTGCTGACCTGGCTTGTTCCTGACCTGACTCTGATTACTCTCCTGCTTGATACTTGATACTCCTGACTTCGGCTCTGCTTCTGACTTTGGCTTGCTTATGATTTGGTACCTTGCTGTCCGCCCGTTGATGACCCCGGCTATTCCTATGACATTTCTCCTGTCTCCTATCCCAGCTTCCTGCCTTGCTCTGGTGCACACCTGGTGACCTACTATACCAGCTCTGCATACCACTACTGTTCATGAATCGGAGGTTCATCAGTCTTCCAAAGTCTCCAGCTGCAAGATCTGCAAACAACATCTGCTGGCGCTCTTGTCCCCCTGGTCCGTAGACACCCTCTATTCCACTTCCACTGGGGTCAGGGCTAGTGACACAAGTGAGGCCGACCTCGTCATTTCAGTCTCCAATCAGGTACGTGACAGGTTGGCTTTGTTCTGGGGCGACAAGCTGCTGATAACATCCATAAAGTCATCCATCTCATGCATATCTTGCATCACCGCAGGATAGCTGGGTTTCTTTTATCCCTGGACATTTATAAGGCGTTCGATTCGCTTTCTTGGGAGTATTTGACATATACACTGTCTAGATGGGGGTTTGGTGATGCATTTCTGGCTTGGATCTCCGCTTTATATTCGTCTCCCTCGGCCTCTGTTAAATATGCAGGTTTTTTTCCCTCCTCTTTCCCTAGTTTCAGGGGCACGAGACAGGGATGCCCATTATCACCTGCTCTTTTTGTTCTCGCTTTTGAACCTCTAGCTACAGCCATTCGAAATCACCTGGATATTTCTGGTGTTCCCTATGCCGGCACTCAGTACAAGGCCAACTTTTATGCAGATGATGCTCTTTTGGTTTTAACCAATCCTCCCATCACTCTCCCCAATCTGCAGGTCATATTGGACCATTTTTCGACTATATCTGGCCTTCACATCAATTTGTCTAAAACCACGGCATTGAATATTACGCTCCCTGCCGACCTGGTTGAACGGTTGCAGACACAATTTCCCTACCATTGGGCATCCCATTCCCTGGCTTATCTTGGCGTTACACTTCCACCTACTCTGCCTTATTTTTGGCTAATTATAACCCCTTATTGCGCTCTGTTACTTCCCTGCTTCGTTCTTGGCAGTTTCCTTCGATATCATGGATTGGCCGGATACATGCTGTCAAGATGACTATCTTGCCGAAGATCCTGTACTTTTTCCGCACTCTCCCTATTTAGGTCCCTGCATCTTTGTGTACTGCAAAGCCGGATTCTCCGTTTTTATTTGGGCTCATAAGCATCCCAGAGTGCCTAGAGCCACTTTGTATACTCATAGATTACAGGGAGGTTTGGGAGTTCCACATGTTTCTAGATACTACGTGGCAGCTCAGATTTCACAGTTGTCTGTGCTTCATGCCACGACAGATATCCCGTTATGGGTACTCTTGGAATTACCCAACTGTGCTCCGCTTTCCTTAACTACATTGCTTTGGCTCCCGCCTAAGTCGTACCCTCCGGATTTGAGCCATATCATGCTTCACAGTTTATGAACCTGGGATTCTGTTAAATATTCGGATAATTTGATATCATCGTTTCTACCTCTTTTGCCGATTACACATAATCCTTTATTTCCATCAGGCCTAGAACATCCCCCTTCTTTCTCTTGGTGGACCTCCCATGGCTTTGTTATTGTGCATGATTTTCTGAGCGCTGGTACGTTTCCATCATGGAGTCTCTTCGAAAATCAAGGGGGGGGTCCCGCCACAGGAATGTTATCGGTATTTGCAATTGCGCCACTGGGTCCTATCCCTCTGTCGTGTCTCTACATATCCTTACCGCAAAACGCCCTTTTTAACACGTCTGCCAGCATTCCCCAAGGTGCCCTGGTCTCATTTCTGTAATTTATGCCTCTCTTAACAGTAAGTCCTCCTCACCACCCCTGTCTTATGTTTCAATGGCAGCGAGATCGGGTTTCTCGATTGCGGCGGAGGATTGGCGTAGGGCCTGGGGGATGGTGGCGAAATGTTCATTCAATAGTCACTCTTGAGGCAGCCTACAAAGTTCTTGTTTGGTAGTACTGGATCCCGGCTCGGACTGCTCACTTTATTCCTACTGGCGGAGATAGGTGTTTCCGGGAACTGTGGTCTACGTGCGGACGTCTTGCGCATTTGGTGGTCGTGCCCACGATTGATAGGCTTCTGGTCTAGGGTTTTTGGTTTGCTGCAAATGCTATTTCATATTACGGTCTGTAGGAATGCAAGGGTGGCCCTCCTGCATTGGCCAATTTTGGGTCTGTCTAGGTCTCAGCAGAAATTGGCGTCCTACCTATTTATTTCGGCCAAACGTGCTATAGCTCAAGCTTGGAGAACCCCTTTGGTTGTCTTCCAGGGGGTGAAGACCCGGATGAATGCTATGTTGATCAATGAACAGATGTCTAGTGTTCTTCATGATTCTCATCTGAGATTCCTTAAGGTTTAGGAACCGTGGATACGTTATTCCTTGCCATCCCTGCCTCCTACTAGTTATGGCCTCTTATAGTTGTTGCCTGTGCTAGCCCTGGATCCGTGATTCTTCTAGTTTTCCTTTCCTCCGTGTTTTCTTTCTGACTCTCTTTTCTTTCTTTTCTCCTTCCTTCTTATTTTTTTTTTTTTTTTTTTTTTTTTTTTTTTCTCTTCTTTTTCTGGTAATTTGATGGATTGTTGTTGCTATTATTTGGTTCGGCTTTTTGCTGTCCCTCCTTGATGTCATTGGACATTCAGTTATTTGGCTAATACAAGTTAGCAGGATGTATCTGTTTTTGTTATTGTTCTGCTCTGCCCCTGCGTGGGCGTATCTTGAGCTTGTTGTATTCTTAAGACAAAACGTAATAAAAATATTGAAACAGAAAAAAGAACAGATGGATGCTTTCCTAAATGCACACAGGTATAAGATTCTGTATATGGAAGTTTTCTATTTATACTATTTACTTATTTATATTAGTTGTACTAAATTAGGGGTATTGAAATAAAAATCATAGAGGTCCGATCAGTAAAATTTCCTTCTCACAGAGGTCTGGCCCTCACTACAGTATCCTTTGCCCCCCTTTACCTCAAACCCACAGCGGTGTCCTCTGCCCCCCCCTTACATCGCACCTCTGACTCCCTATTTAAATTGCAGCCCCACAGCTCTGCACCCCCACTCACAATACAGGTCCTCATAGTTCTGCACCCCATTCACATTGCAGCCCCCACAACTGTGTCCTTTCACTCTCCTACTTTACTTGGGTACATGAGACAAGCGCACATTTAAAACACACACATACTATAGTTCTAACTGCTATGAAATTGGAATATTAATCAAAAGACTAATGTGGAAAGTATTAATGCTAGGTACCATCAAATGTATTTCCGCCTTCAATAAACATGTGATTTTGTGTGATAATGTTTATCCAGGATGGCTCTTAACTTAACCCACATATGGAGGTTGTGCTGTGATATTTCTAGTTAATTCAGGGACATCAATCATTAACTCTTAAAAGACTACATGTGTTTACTTGGATGGCGTTCCCATCAATATATACACATAAAGGCTCCACAATGCCCCGTAACACTAACTTCCTAAAAGTTTGTCAAATCTTTATCCACAATAGGGGTAATGGTGTCAGAGAATCAAGCAGGATAACTTGCAAAATAAATGAGCCTGTCGCTTTTATCTGTTCTCTTTTATTAGCCATGAATTGGCAACTTGCTATCCCTCTAATGCACAGGTGTCAAACTGCAGCTCTCTAGCTGTTGAGGAACTGCAATTCCCACCATGTCTCTGCCTTTGGGAGCCATGCTTTTAACTGTCAGCCTTGCAATGCCTAAGGGATTTGTAGTTCTGCAACAGCTGGAGGGTCACAGTTTGACACCCCTGTTCTAATGTAAACAAACAGGTGCTGGAAGCTGTTTATAAGCCCTCATGCACACTGGGTGATTTTACAGCTTTTTCCTGCCTCTAAACTCCTCTTCATGTTAGCCTATGTGTCCATGCACACAAACTGTTAGAGGCAGGAAGAAAAACCCCACTGCCAGTGCGTCCAGGAGCATTGGCAGAAAAAAAAAACGCTTGGCACTTTTAAACGCATGTAAATGTGCATTTAACTTTTGATTTCAATGGCTTGATGCAGCTAAATGTGCCTAAATGCATTACACACCTTTACCATGATAAGGCATTTTTATTGCCAAAACTGCTACCAGGAGGAAAGACTTCTAAAGTGTTCATAAAATGTCCTGTGTGCATGAGGCCTAAATAGACATCTCTGTGGTGAACATGGGGAGAAATTCAGACACATTACCCATAGCTTGTTGAATTTCCATAACTTGACCCCAGGTTTAAGGCTAGGTTCACATCTGTGTGGGTGATTACCCCTGCGGGAATGTACCTGTAGCTGCAGCCGCAAGCCTCTGCACAGAAAAACACAGGAGCTGTGTGCTGGAGCCATTAATGATAATGGCACATGCTGGAAATCACTCCCTTACTGGGAAACCAATGGCACGCAACTTCCTGAGCATGCTGCGATTTCCAAAACAGCCCATTCAAATGAATGGGTTGTAGTGCCTGCGCAAATGTGAATTTAGAAACTGTATAACAGATAATTTAACAGTGCTTGGCAGTGTTTTCAACACTGGTTCTGAAACATAAATTCTTTCTGTTGCAGAAATATTACCCACCAGATTTTGATCCTTCTAAAATCCCAAAGTTAAAACTTCCAAAAGATCGTCAATATGTGGTTCGTCTGATGGCTCCATTCAACATGAGGTAAGCTGAAATATTAGAGGATTTCTAATGTGTTCATAAAGAGTAAGGATACCTAAGGCTTGGTAAATAATTCCTCTACACGATGCTAAGAAGCTTTAGATAATTGTTAAATTCTCTTCATTGTACTGCAGTTATCAGTAAACAGAATATTATTAGTATTATATTATTATACAGGATTTAGATACCGCCAACAGTTTGCACAACGCTTTACAATGTGAGGACAGACAGTAGTTACAATACACTTCAATAGAGGAGGAATCAAAGGGCCCTGCTCGGTAGCACGTACAATCTAAAAAAGAATGTTACAAGCAATGGTTTTTCAATTCAAAAAATATGTTAAATACCATTTAAAAAATGTCAATTTTTCTCCTGGCTCTATATTTCTGTTACATGGAAATAATTAGTTATTGGGAAAGGATGTTGTGCCTTGAAATCTGCTTTCTTGTTTTAAAACACCTCTATGATAAACAGCTGGGAGTTGGTTGCAGATTCCAAGTGGCTCAGAACCTGTTTGTTACCATGCGCACATATTTTGAGAATTGTTCTCTTAGCACTAGTTTGTTGGGGCAAAATGTTTTAAACAAAATCAAACCTCTACCCCTTTAATGCATGCTTAAAGCTGAACTAAACACTCTCAATCAGCAATTTTTTATCCTCATGCTGCTATCATTAGTAAAGTAGATACAATGTATAATATACATTTACAAGTAATATATTTACTTGTAAACTTTTTTTTTATATTCAGTTTCCTGCATTTTGGTCTAGGCCAGAATGATGTCATTCATCGCAGGAGTCTTCAAGGGCATTTTTTTTCTTTTATCTGGAGGAGGGCTTTCTCAGCTAAGCACACCCTCCTATCTGCATGGATGAGCTAAGGATGGATTCCAGGAAGTGTTATGTGAACCATCTGGTGACCATGGTTAGGAGTGCTAGGGAGGTGTGTTTTGAAAGTGATTTCTTAAAGTAAAGGATGGATGGGTGAGTTTGCTTTGAGTATTAAAAGATTATTAAATAGCATTTCAGCTTGTGCTGCTGAGATATAGTTTAGTTCTGCTTTAGGGCTCATGTACATTGCAGCTGCTAAACTGACATTCAGGAGCTGCTGAGCATTTTTTTCAGCAGCCCCTGAACTCTCCCTAATGTTTTCCTTTGTGTCCATGTACACATACTTGTTTACAGGCAGTTGAGTTTACAGTCGTTTTTCTTTTGAATGCACCAAACTTGCGTTCAGGAATAGATTTTACCAGCATTTCAAATGCTTGTAAACGCGGTTAACCGCATTTATAAGCGTTTGCGTTTAGAAGTGTTTTTAACTGTTCCATGTCCAGATGCTGTCCAGAGTTTTTTTTTTTTCATCAGAAATGCATGAAAAGTGTTTTCCATGTATTCAAATGGGCCTAGTACACCAGCGCAGTCAGTTCCAGGTTTCGCGTGAAGGAAAAAAATGTTAGAATGTGCTGCATTGTGCTCATGATGGGATCCATAGTGAATACAACCAGAAAAGATAGGTAATCTCAACACATACTGCTCTCTCTGCTTCTGCTCTCTCTATTTCTCTCAAAGTGCATTCCGGGCATTTGGGAAGATCTCCTGAGGTTATCTTTTAAAAATGCTTCTAACGCAAAAGCTTCTAAATGCACATAAACGTGGTATGCAAACGTGGCTAAACTGACGTTTTTTAACTTACGATTTCCAGCAGTCAGTTTCCATCGTTCAGAAGAGTTTTCCAAACGCCCCGTGTACATGAGCCCTTAAAGCCCAACCTTTCAGCTGTGCCAGACAATGTGTGGGTCTTTTTCCACTTTGTTTCTTCTCTGGCCTGGGGAGGTACTCCAATGAGGCTGATCATGTAGCTGATGCGGTGACATCATTGCTGCTCTCTGCTTCAATATATTGTATGAACATAGACCAATATGCTTCAGTGATCAGCTTCAGTAATCGAACGGACTGGCAATCTAGTACCTTCCAATGGAGGTTTGCATTTCACCTGGCTTAACACTGCTGTTACTTCAAGCGTTAGGCTGGAGAGCTTTTCTGGTTGCACTCTGTGATGGACCTTAGGGCAGAACAAAAACTCCATTGGAGGAGGTAAGATTTTTCCATAATCTGCAAAACTTTCAGATTGGCACACACTTCACTCCTTTCTGTGCGGTCTCTGCTGCTGACCTCTCCACTACCAGTTCTTTCAGGTCCCATGGCAATCCTCTTTGGACACTACATTAATGCCCCTGGCACTAGGCCCATTCCAGGTTTGTTAAAGGTGCTGGGAATAAACTGAGTGTGTAAGGTGTATTACACATCCACTGTACAATGTACTCTGAAAATAAAAAAATTGCTAGGGAGAAGAAAAACAAAATGTGATTTATTGCAAATGACAGCGCTATCACCCTAAATAACACACACACACACACACTATATATACATTTCATCAAAACTAAATCCATATAACAATATATAACAAAAACTTAAGGTGCATATGTGCATACAAATATCATAGTGATCAGTGCAAAAAAAGTTATTAAATATTAATTGCATCCACTAATATCTCCTTAAGGTGTCTAGTGCAATCACAATTATTCACAACAATTAGTAACGTGTCCCATGCAGAGATAGGTGATCCAACTATAGAGTGCAAAAAGGAACATCACTGTCCTCACAAACTTCACCATAAATCATGTCCTCTACCTTTGATAGTACCAAATAACTTACCAAAGAGAATGGCTGGTATACTGAAATAACCAACGAACTCGCAGAAACCACCACAATTAGACCAGCATGGAGTCCTGCAGAGCGTCACAGCAGTTTTCATGGAACATTCCCCCAATGGCTATATTGGACAATGGACCCATTAAAAGGAAAAGAGGGCTCCCATAGTGTAAAACCCCACATTTATTATATTAAAAGAATAATCACCATAAACTTAAAAGATTGTCCCACAACTGACACTGGTGCAGCACATATACTCATTATATCGGACTGGCTCCAGCCTACAATATGTTTAAAAGTTCCCTACGCGTTTCGTCTCCTAACATCTTCCAGAGGTTGATATCCGATATGCCTTTTCAGAAAATACATATATATGGTGAGGCACTTAACCATTCAATAAAGAGGTCACAGGTGAAAACGTTTTCTGCTTCCGCAGAGAAAAGTGTCAATGCCCCACCTTCTCAGGAGCTCTTAGCTCCTCTAAATGTCAAGCACCTTCACGCTTTTCTCTGGCTTAACCTAAGTTCAGTCCTTCTTTTTGGCACAGGGCTTAGCTCAAAAAGATCACAATGCTCTCATGAAGGGGCACCACCCTCACTTCTAAAGGTTCCAGGGAGGAGTTGTACCAGTACCACCACAAGACAGGTTGAAGGGTTTCTACTCAAACCTGTTTACAGTACCAAATCCCAATGGAGGTATTTGTCCTATTCTGGGCTTAAAAACAAATTCCTTTGCATTCCAAATTTTCAAATGGAATCTGCAAGATCGGTAATTGTTCCTCTGAGATCAGGGGATCATATGGCATCCATAGATATCTAAGATGCTTATCTATGTGTTTCCATTTACAAAACTCATCTGTAGTTTCTATGCTTTGCAGTGGCAGATGACTACTTCCAGTTTGTTGCATTGACCTTTGGCCTATCCTCTGCTCCCAGGGTTTTCACAAAGATCTGAGCACCCTTGCTTGCCCTGCACAGAACTCAAGGCATCCAGATGACAGGCAACTGTATTTAGACAAGCTTCTACTGTAAAATTTGGACTAGAAGAACACACACAGATTCCACCAATTAAAGTGTACTGTACACCTTTAACTGGCTAAGAGGATACTATAGAGACACGAAATGCATTGATGATGTTTTAACCTGTTTTAATGATCAATAAATACCTTCCTGAAGAATCTAATTGGAAGCACCTTTCATTTAATGGGTACTTCTGCTATCCCCACATCAGTATGGTTCAGTTTGGGGGTGTCATCCTTTTTAACTTCACCAGATCTAATTGCAACCTAGCGCAGTGCAAGAATCTCCAGAAAAAAACCCACATCCGTTTACACTCCCCAGTTCATAGGGGTGAATGGAGGGTCTGATCAAGTCCCATTGAACCCTGGGCAGTCAGCATTGACCAAGGAAGCTTCTGGTAGGGTGCTATATAGGTTCAAGACAGTGGACCCCAGAGCAGAAAAGGGGGACTGAGTCCTTGAAGGTCCTGAGTGACTAAGCCCGCCATGATGAGTGAAGATTGGACCTCTGCTTTTTGAAACTGGATCCTACGGCAGATTTGGTAAGTTTTATTGGCAGGGTCGCTTTAAAAAACAATTTGGGGCTGCCAGGGTTTGTCCTCTTTGTTAGCAGCTATGGGTAATAGGTGTGCTCACTTTATGGATGTGTTTCTTTGTGTCAGGGTGTTATGCACGTGGGGCCGGTGTCCATCTTGATTATGTATTGAAGCCTTTGTTTACATGGCCATTCTTAGGGAGGCAGATGCGGATGGTTCTGCAGCCAGGAAGAACACAGGGATCAGAGAGTGAGGCAGAATAGGGGTTGAGGGCACACGAGTGCTATCAAAGGGCAATAGGGTCAGGCTGCCCAAGAGAAGGTGAGTCATATTTTGACATCCAGGTTCATTGACCAGGTGGACTTGGTGAACTTGCTGGTTGATGGCTCTTGAGCATTTCCGGTCCTGCCAGACCTTCTGTCTCAGGGACCAGTCTTGCACCCTGTTTTACAGTTGCTCAGTGATGGCCTAGCTATTGAAACCCAAGTGCTTAAAGATTGGGTTGCCTCTGGGCCAGTGATCTCTGGCCTTGTGGCCTGGTGTGAAGCCCATTAAGTGACATCCTCTAAAGTTTTTGATTGGTCAAATTTTGGCCTTTCTCCATACAGGAGTAGAGGTAAATTTGCTTTTAAGTAGCAATGAAGGCCAGTTATCTGTTTATCCATAGACCGTTTGCTTCTTATTCATTGGTTCATGCCTTTGCTCAGGGGTGTTCAGTATGATTCTGTCTGTTATACCTGTTTTGCAGAAACCACCATTTAATCCAATTCATGATACTCTTCTAGTCTTATTGACTCGGAAGGTAGTTTGTTACTTTTTTTTTTTTTAGGTTGCGATCACTTTGATGAGAAGGGTATCATAGCTGGCAGCTCTTTTGTGGAGCCATTTTTTGATCCTTCACCATGATAAAGGGGTGTTTCAGGCCTCATCCATCTCTTTTGCCGAAAGTGGTTTCAAGTTTTCTTTTGAATCAGAACACTCTTACCTTCCTTTTTTCCACAGTTGTCAGGAAAGGAAACTCTTCACATTTTGGATGTGGTTCAGGCTGTCAGAATTTATTTAAGGCTATCTGCACAGATCAAGTAGTCAAACTCGATTGTTTGTTCTGCCAAAAGGGCCAGGAAGGGTCGGGCGGCATCTAATTCGCAGTCAATCTGCCAGTTAGTCACTCAAGCCTATGGCTTGAAGGGTAAGGTTCCCCCTTTTGGGGAAAACGCATTCTACAAGGAGTGGGGGAGCATCTTGTGTTGGTTGTCATCAAGCATCACTGGCTCAGATCTGGAAGGCTGCAACACGATCTCCGGTACATGCGTCCGCAAAGCTTTACCAAGTGGTTGTGGGAGCCGCACAGGATCTGCAGACAGCAGAGTAGGTTCCTTATAATTGATGAAGATTTTTTTGTCTGTCTTTTTCCCCTTAAGTGCTTTCCTTTTGGACATCACAGATGGTAATGATTATAACCTACTGTTTGTCCTGCGATGTACAATAAAGAAAATGTAATTTTTACTTACCTGTAAAATACATTTCTTGGGTGTATATCACGGGACACAAAGTTCCTTCCCCTCTTTCTGGGAGTTCATCGCTTGCTACAAAACTGAGGGACTTCCTATTTGGGAGGGGTTATATAGGGGAGGACTTCCTGTCTGTTTTTGGTTAGCCAGTGTCCATTCACCTATAGGTGGCACATAACTCAGATGGTAATGATTAGAGCCTGCTGTGTGTCCCGTGATATACTTCAAGAAATGGATTTTACAGGTAAGTAGAAAAAAATCAAATTATTTTTATTATTTGTCAATTAAAGTACAGTTGCAAGAAAAAGTATGTGAACCCCTTGGGATTACGTGGAGTTTTGCATGAATTGGGCATAAAATGTGCTCTGAACGTCATCTAAGTCACAACAATAGAAGAACACAGTCTGCTGAACATAATACTACACAAACATTAGATGTTGCCATGGTTTAATTGCACATAACATGTAAATATTCACAGTGCAGGGAGGAAAAAGTATGTGAGGCCCTAGCTTAATGACTTCTCCCAGAGCTAATTGGAGCCAGGAGTGAGCCACCCTTGACTCCAATCAATGTGATGATATTGGATGTGTTACTGACAGCTGTCCTGCCCTTAAAAAACACACACCTGTTTTGGGTTTACTGGTTTCAAGAAGCACTGTCTGATGTGAACCATGCCTCGCAGAAAAGAGCTCTCAGAAGACCTACAATCAAGAATTATTGACTTGCATGAAGCTGGAAAGGGTTACAAAAGTATCTCCAAAAGCCTTGATGTTCATGTGTCCACGGTAAGACAGACTGTCTACAAATGGAGAAAGTTTAGCACTGTTGCTACTCTACCTAGGCGTGGTCGTCCTGTAAAAATGACTGCAAGAGCACAGCGCAGAATGCTGCATGAGGTAAAGAAGAATCCCAGAGTGTCAGCTAAAGACCTACAGAAATCTCTGGCACATGCTAACATTTTTGTTGACACATCTACAATAAGGAAAACATTAAACAAGAATGGAGTACATGAGAGGACACCACGGAGGAAGCCATTGCTGTCCAAAAAGAATATTTCAGCATGTTTGAAGTTTGCAAAAGAGCACCTGGATGTTCCACAGCTCTACTGGCAAAATATACTGTGGACAGATGAAACCAAGATTGAGTTGTTTGGGAAGAACACACAACACTATGTGTGGAGAAAAAAAGGCACAACACACCAACATCAAAACCTCATCCCCACTGTAAAACATGGCGGAGGGAGCATCATGGTTTGGGGCTGCTTTGCTGCCTCAGGGCCTGAATGGATTGTTGTCATTGATGGGAAAATGAATTCCGGAGTTTATCAAGACATTTTGCAGGAAAACGTACGACCATCTGTCCGCCAACTGAAGCTCCGCAGAGGATAGGTGATGCAAGAGGACAAAGCATACAAGTAATTCAACAAAACAATGGCTGCAACAGCACAGAATACGCCTTCTGGAGTGGCCCAGTCAGAGTCCTGACCTCAACCCGATTGAAATGCTGTGGCATGACCTTAAGAGAGCGATTCACACCAGACATCCCAAGAATATTGCTACATTGAAACAGTTTTGTGAAGAGGAGTGGTCCAAAATTACTTCAGATCATTGTGCAGGTCTGATCTGCAACTACAGGAAACGTTTGGTTGAGGTTATTGCTGCCAAAGGAGGGTCAACCAGTTATTAAGTCCAAAGGTTCACATACTTTTTCCTCCCTGCCTGCACTGAATGTTTACATGTTATGTGCAATTAAACCATGGCAACATCTAATGTTTGTGTAGTATTATGTTCAGCAGACTGTGTTCTTCTATTGTTGTGACAGATGACGTTCAGAGCACATTTTATGCCCAATTCATGCAAAACTCCATGTAATCCCAAGGGGTTCACATACTTTTTCTTGCAACTGTATGTTATGAACAAATAAGATATAAGTAACTGATGTAGTTGGCCAGCTTAAACAAGTATAGCAATATATACGAACATGGAATTTTTGTTTGCTATAAGTCTTTAACATTATAGAGTTTGTAGAGGGTTTTTTTTTAATTATTATTATTTCCTCCATAGGATTACATCTTCCTCATTTCCGTTTAGTAATGACTATGAAGACATTTTTATTTGATTACAAGTCATTTTGTGTGCCAGCACAGTTGCTTTCAACCTTTTTACATGTATGTTTAGGCTAGGTCCACATCTCTGCAAATATGGAATGCATGCAAAATTATTCTTGTTCCTGATCCAAAGAAAAACTTGCTGCATTTTAGTAAATGTGTGGGGGTACCATTCATTTTTAATGGCAGCTGAGGCACGACTTTCGGTTTGGCATGACTTCAAAAAAGAGTCAGTGACTTTTTTCCTCACATTTCTCACGAGTAGGGCAGCCCATTGGAATGATTGTACTGCCGTACCTACAATGTGCACATACAAACAAGCTTGCACATATCTGAATGAAGCAGCTTTTTTTAAAGGATAGGTTCCCCCATTGGAAACATGTTACATGTTCCACCCATTTTTAGGGTGGAACATGTAACATTTTCCCAAAGCCGCAGCTGCCCCCCCCACCGATAATATGGGTGGAAGTCTCCCCATACTATCTGTCAAATTTGAAAACAGCGTGGCCGTGCGGGTGTTCACCCATACGGCTGTGTCATTCATTCACGTATTTCCGTGCATGAATGAATGTCAGGTCACAGCAGCCTTAGCGGCTGTGGGCTTGTAGTTTTCAATTAACTTCCACGGTGCTGTGGATCACCGTGGTAGTTCATCGAAGCTTCCTGTCAGAATATCTGCTTACTTGTACATCCCATACGGCAAGCTAATATTCTGACAGGTCTGCAGGAGACCTGCATGGCATCGGCGATCTACAGATTGCTAGTGCAGTGCTTTCCAGGCTCCTGTAGACAAAAATAATAAATGCACATATTTTTACCTACAAAAAATGTGCATTTATTATTTTTGTCTAAACTTATCCTTTAACGTCACAGAAATAATTGCTTTAGTTGTCCAAATTTTTGTTTAATTTGCACCGATATTCTCTCTTTTAATGGGAAGTATATCTTTTGCACTTTCATTTTAGCAACTGGATTGTTGTAGAATATTTTTTGAGAAGGAATTATTGGTACATCTAATTTAACTTTTCATAAGTTCAAATGCTACCACGCCTTTCATAAATTAGCATATATTTGTTGTGTTCTATCTTTAATGATTGGAAATCTTTGAAATGCATTTGCCTTTTTTTGTTCTTTATGGTTTTAACAGGTGTAAAACTTGTGGAGAGTATATCTATAAAGGAAAGAAGTTCAATGCAAGGAAAGAAACTGTGCAGAATGAACAGTATTTGGGACTCCCAATCTTTCGTTTTTACATCAAGTGTACACGCTGTTTAGCGGAAATCACATTTAAGGTTTGAATAATTGCTATAAATGCGCATTTATTTTTCTGTTGCTACACTAATTGTATAAAATGCATATTTGCTGTATGGCAGTACTAAATATATACTATGTGTGTATAGGTCAGGTAAAAATACACGTGGAGGTGAAGGAAAAAGGTTTTATAGGGGAGTGTGAGAAATATTGCGGGTAAATGATCAAAGTGTTTTTATTTTTTTTTTGGGCGGGGACATCTTCCAAACTGCTGCAGCAGTTTAATATTTGCGACCTGCTTCATGCAAATGGCGACAAGGCGCATTTTTACACACTTACAGTGCCTTGAAAAAGTATTCATACCCCTTGAAATATTCCACATTTTGTCATGGTACAACCAAAAACCTAAATTTATTTTATTGGGATTTTATGTGATCGATCAACACAAAGTGGCACATAATTGTGAAGTGGAAGGAAAATGATAAATGGTTTTCAAATTTTTTTACAATTAAATATCTGAAAAGTGTGGTGTGCATTTGTATTCGAGCCCCTTTACTCTGATACCCCTAACTAAAATCTAGTGGCCTTCAGAGGTCACCTAATTAGTAAATTTAGTTTGCGAGGAGCCATGTGGGGGACACAGTAAACATGTGGAAGAATGTGCTCTGGTCAGATGAGACCAAAATTAAACTTTTTGGCCTAAAAGCAAAAGGCTTGTGTGGCAGACAACTAACAATGTACATCACCCTGACCACATCATGCCCACCATGAAACATGGTGGTGGCAGCATTGTGTTGTAGGGATACTTTTCTTTGGGAGGAACAGTGAAGTTGGTCAGAGTTGATGGGAAGATGGATAGGAGCCAAATACAGTTCAGTCTTAGAAGAAAACCTGTTAGAGTCTGCAAAAGACTTTTGAGACTGGGGCGGAGGTTCACCTTCCAGCAGGACAAGGACCCCAAACATACAGCCAGAGCTACAATGGAATGGTTTATTTCAAAGGATATTCATGTGTTTGAATCGAATTGTGAATCTGTGGCAGGAGTTGAAAATTGCTGTTCACACACGCTCTCCATCCAAACTGACAGAGCTTGAGCTATTTTGCAAAGGAGAATGGGCAAAAATTTCACTCTCTAGATGTGCAAAGCTGGTAGAGACATACCCAAAAAGACTTGCAGCTGTAATTGCAGCGAAAGGTGGTTCTACAAAGTATTGACTCAGGGGGCTGAATATAAATGCACGCCTCACTTTTTAGATATTTATCATCTTCCTTCCACTTCACAATTATGCGCCACTTTGTGTTGGTCTATCAGATAAAATCCCCCAAAAAATAAGTTTACGGTTTTGGTTGTAACATGACAAAATGTGGAAAATTTCGAGGAGTATGAATACTTTTGCAAGGCACTGTATATAGACAATTTGTTATCTGATGGATGCCTAAACATTTTGAGATTGCTTTGTAGGGTTCCAGCCTTATGCAGATCAACTTCTTTTGATCATATGGCTTCAAAGAGCACCTTTTTGCCAGGCAGGATTCATATCAGCTGATGCCTCTTATGAACAGAAATCTTAAAATGTTTGCATATCTTATCATTAAAAATCTCTCTAAACTATACCTCCAATCTAATTTCATTAATTGGACTCCAGGTGTGCAAACTACTAAATCCAATTAGGTTTTGTTGAAGCAATTAGGCTGGCCATACATTATACAATTATCTGCAGATTTTTGGTTTAGATTTACCAAAAACCATATAATAGGAGGACAAACCTAAACAACACTTTCAGTTGTATCCAATTAGGCAGGCCCTTGCACTACATAGTTGAAGGTAAATCTAAAGGAAATTGGGCAGAAAATCTGCAGATAATTGTATAATGTATGGCCAGCCTTAGTCTGTGGGTTCGCTTACTTTTTCCTCAGCTGTAAATGTTTAATAGGTGTGTTTAATAAAGACTTGAGAAATTACAATTGTTTGTTTTTTGCCAGCTTAACCACATTGTGTTTTGTCTGTTGTTGTGACTTAGATGAGGATCAGTTAATTTTTTTATAGCAAATTACTGCAGAAAAACAGTTAAAGTGTTACTAAATGCAGGGCCTTGCATTCACTATATCTGGTCTCCCACAGAACATGGTAGTGCAATTTTTTTGGTAAATATAAACTGCTAAATACCTTTTCTCATCAGCAGTTAGAGCAGTCTTGTGACTTCTATCAGTGTCCAACCGAGCAGTGGTTAAAGCTTGTAGGAGGAGTTTTAATTTTGCTCTAGGAGGATGAAGAACCCCTGACCTCTGTGTGGACAGTGCTGATTGGTCCTGTGCTGATCACATTCAGTCTCTCAAGATAACAAACAACCTCTCTAGCAGTACACACCAAACTGAGCTTGTGCAGAGTGTCTCCACACGATATGTCTGGATTCACTGGAAGAAGGGGTGGATCATAGAAGTCAGGATTAAACAGCATTTTTACACAATGCAGAGGATTAACCTCTCAGGTTCCACAGTGAGTATAACCAGCATGCTTTTATATACATACTGATTTTACTGTTTTTGGTTTAGTTTTAAGGAGTTCACAAACTTTTTCTTGCCACTTTATATATATAAATAATATATATATATAATATAATATATATATACTCAGTCTGTCTGGTACTGTACTCCAAGATATGGAGTTTAAAGGTATGCCAAAAATTTTTTTGCCAGTGTTAATTCACCTGACTGTAGTTGCATAGGACCCAGTCATAATGATTAAAGAGATGGTACTGTAATCCAGGAAGCAGCTTTTATTGGCTGTAAGTCAAAAATTCTTTTTCACCTCTGTTTGGAAAGCAGAATTCGCCACATCAACTTCAATCCAGATGTGCATCATTTGCACAGTTCCTGAAAGATTTGAAGCTGTTGTTGTTATACCTATGTATGTATGTATGTATGTGTTACGTGTTCAAAGGGGTATTGTAAGTATGTTGAAATGTACTGTATAATTATTATTTGTGCAATTGGTGTCTATTGTGTTGACAGACCGACCCAGAGAAAACAGACTATGCCATGGAGCATGGAGCTACACGCAACTTCCAAGCAGAAAAACTTATTGAAGAAGAGGAGAAACGATTTCAGAAGGAAAGAGAAGAGGAGGAGCTCAATAACCCAATGAAGGTATCCAAACAATAATGAATGTGCTAGGAAATTGTCAAAAACGTTGTCCCCAAGCTGTTTTTCTACCACAAGACAAAGCACTTGCATTGATTCGAACCCAGCAGAGAAATTTTTTTGTATTTTGGGTAGCAACAGAGAATTACAGTGGGAGAAAGGCAGGTTACAGAGAGAGGAAAAAGTGGATAGTCTGAAAGAACAGAAGAGTGAGAATAAAAGAAGACACTTATGAATATGCTGGGAGAGGCTTTTTAGACCCTTTCTTTGACCCAATAGGCCAAACAAAAACAAAACATTATGCCTCTGTGGGTAAAAAAGTTGCACTGATGAATATGCATATATTTGTTATAGGTTCTCGAAAATAGGACAAAGGACTCCAAAATGGAGATGGATGTGTTAGAAAATTTGCAGGAGTTGAAGGAGCTGAACCAACGGCAAGCAAATGTGGACTTTGATTCTATGCTGGTTCACTACAGAGAAACAGAAGAGGAAATTAAGAGACGACAGGAAGAAGAAGACGAGAAAGAGATGAGGTAAATAGTTGAATTGAGTGGAAGCTAGCACCGTAGTTTACATGGAAAACTGTTATAATACATATAATTTTCTTACATGGAAATTCTCTAGGGCAATGCTGAATGAAGCTCAGAAAAGGCATCTGACAGTTGATTCTGATTCTGATGAAGAATATCCCCCTGTTTTGCCTAAGCAACCTGTGGACACCATTCAAACTGATATTCTGGCAAAGGTAATTAACATTTTACAGCCATCCATTTAAGTATTTGGAATTTTTTGGTTGCACTGTGAAATAGCATGTCAACAGTCATAGTGAGTGATAGCATGACAAATTTCTATTTTAGATAAAATTCAAAGTGGTTTTAAAGGTCAACTCCACTTTTATGGGGGAAAAATATCAAATGAAAAAAAAAAAAGGAATATAGCATATACAACTGCGACACAAGTCATATTGCAATTGTATGTTATTAAAAATTCCTTTCCTTTTCAATCTGCAGCTCTGTAATTTTCTGTAAAGTGCAGTGCTATATGGCTACCTGGAGGTGTTCTGTACATAGAATATATAGAGAACACCCCTAGACACATCATTTCCTGCTTGTGTGATTTGCTCAATGTTTTCCCAGAAGTTTGCCCTATGATACAAGTCAGATTTTAGGCACCCCCTGCAACATAAATGTAATTTTTGGTAAAGTACTCCCAATAGAAAATTACGTCTAAAAGAATGCAGACCTTGCAATTTTCCTCATTAGAGCCCTGCAAGTGCAGTAGCTGATTGATAATTATGCATTCACTCCCATTAGATTCACTCTGCACGTGGACACAGACAAATCGCTAGTCCTTCAGAATAACAATAACTAAAAATCTGTAGCAAAGTTTGTTAAAATCCTTGCACTCTATATAGATCACCCAAAGGAGAATGTATGTATGTTTGTTTTTTTTCTCTGCCTTAAGTTAAAAATAGTTTCAGTATGTATAATGCCCTCTCAACCCCCTGTGAACTTACCTAAACCTGATCTAGATCTAGCAATGTTCCCATCTGCAGCATTTCTTTCCTCTTCTCCCTGCTTTCACAGACTTTGCATTGCCTCCCCCTGCTGTCAGTCAAATCCTGTGATGATAGAGCGGAGGGTGGGCTCAAGCCTCACTGTCTGTGTCTATAGATGCAGGCAGCAAAGCTCGGGGGTCAAGCCCGCAGGTGTGCCACAATAGGAAGCGGCTTTCTGTGGCACACCAAGAAGAGGACCCATTTGCGCCGGTGGGGGACCTGAGAAGAGGAGGATCGGGGCTGCTCTCTGCTGTAACATTGCACAGAGCAGGTAAGTATAACATGTTTATTTTAAACAATAAAAAAAAAAAAAAGACTTAACAAACGCTTTAGGAAAAACATATATTAAAATATGATTCATTAGTTCTGATTCTGGGTTCAACATCGAGTTCCTGTCTGTTTTCAGTTTAAGTCTGTATGACTGATGTAGAGCCAGACCCTGGCCACCTTCACCAACGTGTGACAAATGGCTGGTCAAATTCACGCGCTGTCACTTATACGCAATAATAGCACACTCAGCCTTGCCTTGCACAAAGATTTTCCAGCTCGCAGAACCATAATCTAAGTGCCAGCCTACTAAGAGCGATCATTGCTGGGTTACGTTAACTACGCAGTTATCTCTTTACTCTACCACCAGGTGTTTTTAATGTCAATATCAAACATTTACACTATTAGCGATAACAATTATGACTTAAACGAAACGTCTGTAACGCACACTGTCAACACAGACCGGTACAGTGGGGAAAATAATTATTTGACCCCCTGCAGATTTTGTAAGTTTGCCCACTTACAAAGATATGAAGGGTCTATAATTGTTATCATAGATGTATTTTAAATGATGGAATATCAACCAAAAATCCAGAAAAAACACTTGATACAAATGTTATAAATTGAGTTGTACTTCATTGAGTAAAATAAGTGTTTGATCCCAAGGGAAAACATGACTTGGTACTCGGTGGAGAAACCCTTGTTGGCAAGCACAGAGGTAAGATGTTTCTTGTAGTTAGTTACCAGGTTTGCACACACCTCAGGAGGGATTTTGGTCCACTCTTCTATAGAAATCTTTTCTAAATCCTTAAGTTTTCTTACCTGTCACTTGCCAACTCGAAATTTCAGCTCCCTCTATAAATTTTGTATAGGATTAAGATCTGGGGACTGTCTAGATCACTGCATGACCTTAATGTGCTTCTTCTTAAGCCACTCCTTTGTTGCCTTGGCGGTATGTTTTGTTTCATTGTCATGCTGGAAGACCCATCCATGACCCATCTTCAGTATTCTGGCTGAGTAAAGAAAGTTCTCATCCATGTTTTTACAATACATGGCCCCTGTCCATTGGCCACTCCTTTAGCAGAGAAATGGCCCCAAAGCATAATGTTTCCACCTCCATGCTTGACTGTAAGGATGGTGTTCTTAGGGTCATAGTCAGCATTTTTCTTTCTTCAAACACGGCGAGTCGAGTTATTGCAAAGAGCTCAATTTTGGTCTCATCTGACCACAGCACTTTCTCCCAATCCTTCACTGAATCGTTTAGATGTTCATTGCAAACTTCAGACAGGCCTGTACATGTGCCTTCTTGAGGAGGGGGATCTTGCGGATGCTGCAGGATTTCAATCCATGGTGGCATATTGTGTTACCAATGGTTTGTTAGGCGACTGTGGTCCCAGCTGCCTTGAGATCATTCACATGCTCCTCCCATGTTGTACTGGGCTGATCCCTCACTTTTCTCATGATCATCCTTACCCCATGAGGTGAAATCTTGCATGGAGCTCCAGACCGAAGACGATTCGATGGTTATTTTGTATTTTTTCCATTTGCGAATAATCGCTTTAACAGTTGTCTCCTTCTCATCAAGCTTCTTGCTGATGGTTTTGTAGCCCATTCCAGCCGTGTGCAGGTCTACAATCTTGTCCCTCACGCTCTTTGATAGCTCTTTGGTCTTGCCCATGGTGATAAGGTTTGAATGGAAGAAAGTGATTCTGTGGACAGGTGTTTTTGATACACTTGATGAGTTGTCGTAGGAGCACCTTCTTAAATTGACAGGACTAATCTGTGTAACACTTGAGCACATGAGCCAGTCTGTGGGAGCCAGAAGTATTGTTGGTTGGTAGGGGATCAAATGCTTATTTTACTCATTGAACTGCAGCTCAATTGATAACATTTGTATCGTGTGTTTTTCTGGATTTTTGGTTGACATTCTGTCTCTATCATTTATAATACACCTATGATACAAATTATAGACCCTTCATTTCTTAGTATGTGGGCAAACTTACAAAATCTGCAGGGGGTCAGATAATTTTCGCCACTGTGTATTCAGAGATTTACCTCATGGTAGCACTTTTCAAAGAGACAGGAATTCTTGCTGCTTTAGTGCATCAGAGATAATTTTGCAATTTTAAAATGTTTAATATGTAAGCAGGTAAATCTGTGCAAACAAAATATTAACAGATAAAAGGGTATTACAAAGGGAAAAGAGAGACAATAATACAACAGAGAAACAAAACTGTTTTAAAAGTGAAAATAATTAGCAATGTCCTGGTTCTGTGCCTTTGGCAAAAGTCAGTCAATGAGCATAAGATGGATCAGTGACTCTCGTAGATCTTGGCTGATGTATAAAATAATTTTTCTTACATTTGATGGGATTTTAAAGGCAACCTTTAAATACACAAGGCAAACTACTACTTTAAAAGAATCAACATTTTATTTGTACATCCAATATATCGTTAAAAGTTTTTACTCTACAAACACATACAGAATAAATATCAAATAAAGCTATCAAATATCAGAATATCAGATACATTTCAGAGCAATTTGAGCTACTTATTGAATTCAAATATTATAATGTGTTCCAATATTGATCTAGTGGTATCCCCATAGCTGATTTCCATCATGCAACCTTTAGGTTTGATTAAACTATATATTCATTCCCAGGATGAATATATCTGTAATCAAACCTAAAGGTTGCAAGATGGAAATCGGCTATGGGGGATACCACTGGATCAATATTGGAACACATTATAATATTTGAATTCAAGAAGTAGCTCGATTTGCTCTGGAAGTATTTTGATATCCATTCTGTATGTGTTTGTAGAGTAAAAACTTTAACGATCTATTGGATGTACAAATAAAATGTTGATTCTTTTAAAGAAGTAGTTTCTCTTGTGTATTTAATTGTTGCCTTTAAAATCCCATCAAATGTAAGAAAAAAATCTTTTATACTATACAAACAGGGATGATGGCAACCACACCCTGAGCGACACTGAATTATTTTCCTATAGATCTTGGCTGATGTTCCTTCTTTGATGGTAAAAAGAGAACTCTAGACTGCTGATGCAGCCCCAGCCCCTCATTTCTGATCCCTGAGGAGGGTGTTGATAGACATGCTGTGACCAATGAGAGGGTCTGAGGAGTGACTGATGGGTTGTCACCTTCTTTACGAACATTCAGCTATCTTGCCTTCAGATCAGTTTTCCTAACAGTAAAAGTTTTTATTTTAAGCATAACATCTTACAGGCATTAAATACTATCCAGCATCTGATACAACATGACAATTGCTTACAAAGCCCAACGATCAATATCATAGTACAGGTTGAGCATTGCATAAGGATCATAATGTCTTTGCCATGGATAACGTTGTGATAAAAATACAAATGTAATGAAGTATCCATGACCATATCAGAAAACAGTTATGCAGTAACAATGTTAAGTATATAGCCATAGTGAAGTACAGGAAAGAAATAAGGGAAAAAAAAAAGTAAAACTCAGCAGATTCTATGGGGAAGTTTAAAGAAATAATCAAGTGAATAGAGCCTTAGTGTCTGTCCAGGTGTTGACTAGTTTGTCATACTCCCCTGAATAGAAAAATAACCATGCTGTCCAGATTTCTGAAATTGATCAGTTGATTCTTTGGTGATAGCCAGCGTTTTCTCCATGTGATAAATGCCATCAAAAATGCGTATTTACTCCTTTACCATATTCGTAGTTTTCCAGTATCACGGAATTAAGGATTTGGGAGCACTAAGCAGAGAGTAATAAGAAATATGCAAGCAAGTTGAGTGAATTGTAACTTAGTGTCCATTATGTATACAATCAACTCGCAAATCCTCAGAAGGGGGCTGTGAAAGAGCTTTTCCACCAAATGTGTAATAAGGTACCTCTGTCATGGCCATAGCACTTGCAAAGTTTCAGGGGTGTCAGCAGTCTCACAAAGTCTTTTTTGT